TTATAATATATATATATATATATATAATCCCACTGGGTGGGGTTGTTGCACCAATTTGACGCTGGGAGAATATACGGACATGTTTTTAAATTGACCAAATTAAGTTTGTGTATCTCTTTTACGCTCTATGGCAGGCAGGGTGGACATATAATTACTTGACATGTTTTATATAAGTGACTTCTTAAGTTATTTACGCCTGTCGGCTGTGTACGTGGTTTTTGCCGTTATTTTGTATTGAAGTCTATGGGAAGTCTAGTTTGTTTTCCCCCAAAAAGGGGCGGGGACGAAATTGACAGTTAAGTTCCCGGATGTGCCGGCTGTGCGTATTAATAAAAAAAAAAGTCAGTTCTTACCTTAAAGGTGCCGGTGCCCTATGTAAAAATTGAGGTAAAATTATCCAAAAAATGAGCTACACGCATCAAAAGAATGAGAAGAAATAAGTGCAATGATGTCATTAAAAAATTGAAAAGTTATAGTGCTACCGAGATATAAACCTAAATTAGCATGCTAAATTACTAGCGCCGGCCAGTGTTGCCAACTTAGCGCCTTTGTCGCTATTTTTAGCGACTTTTCAGACCCCTTTAGCGACATTTTTTCAAAAAAGCGACTAGCGACAATTTTAGCGACTTTTTGGACAAACCTCAGTAACCTCAAAATGTTATCAGTACTGTCCTGCGAGCGACCGCAGCCCTCCGGAGCAGATACGCAAAGTTTCTATTTTTGCCGGATGCCGGAGAGCGCCGCAGGAAGTCGATAAACAAAGATAACAGAACAGAACACAGAAACTAAATAAAACATCCGGTAATTTCCAAAATAAAAATATAGTTTTCCCTTTTCCAACAAGAACAATAGTTAACTTTATTTACACAGCCTACTACTTTCCCAATACATTCAAAAAGGAACCCAAATAAACATTTAGCATTTTATAAGTTGATTATATTTAATTATAAATATAGTATTAGAATCACAATAATCTCCACAAAAAAGGGAGATCAGCAGGTCAGCACATAGTTGTTTCCCCTGTACTCCTCTGGATGGAAACAAACTGTTGCTGGTTTTTTGGTTATGTTTATAGAAACTAAATCCTGTTATATCGCGCGATCAAACGTAAATTCGCGAGATATCGTATGTCCTCGTGACTTCAGCTGTCAGTCATGGCCGCAGCCGTTCCGCAACAAATCCGTATCTGGTAGGTATTGAAGGACGGCGGAGCACGGACGCAGCGGAGCCAATCCGCAGCCGTTCTGCAGTTGGTGGAAATCCGGGGTGAGAGGAGCGCACGGCCGCTGACAGACGCGAATGAGCAGTGTTTTTCCACGGACTTATCACTTATCTGCTTCTCTTTTAGTTTGACAATTTAAATTTAATTTATTTTATTGTGCTTATTACTTGTAACACTATCACAGAGCTTAGTTCATCCGGTTCCCTAACTCTCTCAATTCAGAGAATGTTCCACATAGGCCTATACAAAATGTAATCATTCACTAAATTATAGCTACTCGTTCAATTGTCTGACAACAACAAAAATAGGAAATGAGAACAGCTTTATTTGACATTCGGCTATATTATATTGAATAGAGCATTAATTTTAGAGAGAATACGCACTAGGCTGACAGAACGCAAGTACGGCGCGATGACGTCATTAATATGCTAATTGACGTATGACGTCATCTAGCGACATTTAGCGACTTTTAGGGAAGGCCTTAGCTACTTTCCTTTGAAAATAGTTGGCAACACTGGCGCCGGCCCGACTGGTGTCGTAATACCAGTTTCGGCCATGGGAGGCGGTATGCGGGCAACATACATAACCACCAGCCAAACTGCAGTACACGAATAACTCGCACGGCTTGTGGGCGACTGGGCGTACTTGAACTTGAACCTGATGTCAATCGCGTCTATATGAGACCGGCCTTTATAATTTAGTGTTGAGATGTTGTTCATTGAGTCTCTAATCTCTAAAAATCTCCAAATGAACTGCGGCCTTACTATCGTGTCAATTGATTTGATTAATATGCGCGAGGGAGAGAGAGAGCAGGAGGACTGCGCTCGTGTTGTTTGAAGACGTGAGAGTGCGCGCGCGCGGCCGGGGCGCTCTCTCTCTCTCTCTCTGCTCGTTAAAAGCCCTGTCAAGCGCAGCAGTCATTATATTCTACATCACTCACCGATCAAAATAGGCTTTGGCGGGACAAAGCGGACGATTTGACGGTTTTAGAAGATTAACAAACCGAAACTAAAAAACAGACTAGAGTAGGCCAACTTTCTGGAGGTATACTGCCCCCATCTGGAATGGAATATGCGGAGTATGAATTTTATTTTTTGGCAGACATTCCACATGGCACCTTTAAGAGTCTACAAAAAAAACCTCTTAATTTTTTATTTTAATTGATCTCATTAATTGGGTAATGAAAATAGATAAATGGCAGTACATATAATATATACATCTAAGGACTGACTCAAGGATTCAGAGAAAAGAGCCATGGGCAAAAACCTGGGTAAAGAGGTTGGATCATGGGACCACCAAGTATTATAATAGCACCACCTAGTGTAAGACACCTTATAACTGCAGAGGTCGCAGTGGTTTTGCCAAGACGACATCTTTTGTTTATCCTGGAACAATATTCCTGTCCGAAAACAAATCAAGGGAAATGATCGATGAATACGACTGGTGTAGAAGCAACTAACTCTTGTCGTAAGCCTGACATTAACTAGAAACCGATCCCTTAAATCAGATTGGTTGATTGGAATGTTGTTCCAGGATCAACAAAGATGTTGATCCAGGAACATGTTGTTGTACTTGGTGAAATGACATTCCTAACCCTATCCCTAACTGGGATGTGGGACCAATCTACCATGTTTAGGATCTTTGCGATGTACATTCTCTGATGCCCAAACAGTTGTAAGGCTTAATAATAATAAAGAAAATCCTAACAAAATAGAATAGGTTTACAGCACCATGGACCTATGTCATGACCCACAAAATGTATGGGGGTAAAGGAGGTAACTTTACCCCCAGAGTGTGAATGTATGTGTGTTAGACTGGCAATCCATTCATAGTGTTTCAGCTGCATTCTGCCTGAGATTCTGGGATAGACAGCATCCCCATAGGGCAAGCAGTTTGGAAAATCAATGGATGGACATTCCATTCATCTGTGCAATGTAATAGGCCATATAGTGTTTTTAGTGGTGACAGAAGGAGGATTATTATAAGTTGTTAAAGGTACCCTAAAAATAAAAGTATATGTACCCGTCTACCACAGATTTCAGTCATTTGAGGTTATTTTATCGCAGGATTGATGTTGAATAGAATGAGTAACAGCTTAAAGTCGACATGAAACGGAATTTGCGGTAGTCTTTTATTCCTTATTGTGACGTATATACGAGTGAAACAGCTTCTCAAACATTAAAAAAGATATAGCATGGGACTTGATTTTGTCCATTGGGAATTAGATCTTTGGGTCATTATTGTCATTTGCTATTGCTGTGATCTCATGCGAGTGACAGCCCTCGTGCCAGTGAACATGTCATCAGATGGCATTGCAAGAGGGAGGGGAAGTTTTTTTGTTGTTTTTTTAAATGATGTGCACTGCACAGATAAATTGTTTATTATAAATACTAAATATTCCATAAAAAATAAGTAATTTTTAATTTCATGGTGACAGAATGACAACTATTTATTCAAATGTTAAAATGGCAACAACCAATATGTTACTAATGTCACTGATTGTAATTGATAATAAAAACAAAACTTGATGTTCTTTCCCTAACTGTAATATTCTATTGGTGCACAACTTTCGTCAAGCATAAACTTGAGCTTTAATTCCTCAAACGAACAGAGTGCTGCAGGGATGATGTATTTTTGTCAGCTAAAACCCACATTTTAGCACTTCCGTCACATGACCTCACTGGTTTGGTCTTGTGGTATTTTGCACTTTGTATTCTAGCTCACAGTTCTATAGTGACACACTAAGTACAAATATATATTGCATAGTATGCAATTGGTGCTAGTTTTCTATGCCATCCTCACAATGTAGTTGTAGAAGATAATACATTCTGATTGGCTATCCAAATCTCTGTAAATCCAGTGTTGTAACACATTGATGGACACAAAATAAAAACTCAAAATATGCACCAGATTCTCACTTTATTGGCTAAATTCATGACTACTACTACTACTAAAAAAAAAAAAGTCCTTTTAAGAAGAAAAAGTGAGATTTGCAGTTAACAAATTGGAACACAGCCACAATCACTCAGTGAACAGTGCATTTCTGCATTTTAAACTGAAACAGCGATGGCACCCACTTAGCAGACATTCACACATGGTATTATTTGCACATCGTGCATGATTTTAACCTAAAAAAAAAAACCCTACATCTCCCCCCTCAAAAAAAAAAAAAGCCAAACAGAGCATTTCCACAGGCCAGGCTAAATACTACCTGAGTGTGCAGTTTAAAGAAGCAAAGAATGCGCCAAAATAGGTATGTGTCAAAATGTGCAGGGTGCCGTCAATAACTACTGTAAACAGACACGCACTTGGACAAAGCTTCACATTAAAGAGACTGGCAGTGATTTGCACAATCACCTCCATTCAGATTGCTTTAGAGGGGAATGGAAAAGTCTGTCCCCAGCGGGGATCAAAAGCTGGACCCTGAGGCTTGGTCTGACGAGAAGGGTGTTGTAGGTCCAATAAATGGCCTTAGAAGGATTATCACGTTATGGCTGAAGACGTGAAGATGTATTGGAAGGAAAAATCAACCAGAACAGCTAAAAACGCAGTAAAAGGTGCGCAGTTACTAGAGAAAGTGAAGAAAAACTTGCACACAAACTCGCACAACAAAACCATTTTCCACAAATACACACTGTTGTTTCACATAGAAACCAACACGCTTCACAAGGGCATTTCAGTCAAGCACACATATATGACCGCTCAGATTGCCAGCAGTCTCGTCTTGATGGAGACAGCTAAAAAAACCCTGCACTGATTTGGTGTTTGGAGTTGAAGAGGAGAAGGAAAAGGAGAGGTAGAATGATGGACAGGATGTATAGGCGTGTTGCAGTAGTTGATGTTATTTCTTGGCTTTGCCACCCTTGGCTGTGTTTCGTGGAGGAGTTACAGGTCTACCAGATCCAAATCCTCCCGCACCACCATACGACAGCATCTTCTTCTCCGCTGGTTTCAGAATCTGCCAGAGCAGAGAGAGAAAGCAGGTAAAATGAGTAATGAGGCTCATGATATATGAAATATTTAGTTGCCTATGTAAACAAAAAGACATTGCAAATCGCACTACAAACCCAGTCTCGTCATTTGGCGTGGCATGCAATAGTTACATTTCATCAATTTTCTGCAGGACTTTTTTCCCCCCCAAAACCGTGAATTTTGTCTAAAGGTGAGCAGTTGGCATCTGGTTACTAGTTTAATAAAATGTAAGAGCACATACAAACCTGAAATGAGCACATCAGGGTCTCGTCGACACTCATCATAGCTCCTGCGTTGTCAAACTCTCCGCAGTAGTTGGGAGCGGAGAAAAGTGTGACTAACTGCCTCTTAGCAAAGAACTCATAGCCATCCTCTACCACCTGTTCAGAGAGCAGAAGATTTAAGCTTCACAAATGCTATTCAAAAGCTTGACATACAAGAATGCCTCCTACTCAATCAACGAAGGACAAAATTAAAACTATTTAAATATTTCTAGTTTGTCGAATCGATGAGTCTATGACAAAGATTCTCAACATTTTCCTCATCATTAAGCTGCGATCCCTATAGAAAGAATATCAAACCTGCAGCAAATCCTTCCCAGCCAACACACGACTTACCAGTTACATAATTTATTTGGTACTTTTTGGTCATTTCATGATGACATGCTAACTGAAAATGCAACTATGACACTGCATGCTTGTAATTTCATCTGCTCTTTATATGTAGTAAAGTGATATATAAAGCATGCACCTCTGCATTTTTGTGTGCAATTGTACTGTGCGTGGCGCATCTGACAGGAAAGGAGTTTATTTTTCTGAGGCGAGACTATTTCGTAACAAGTGCAGAGACAGTGTCTACTAGACAATCCCCTATGAAGGCCTCGTTAAATTGTTTCTGTCGGATGCATGACAATGCGGTTTTCTTTTCTCATGTCACTAGCTTTAAATATGCAACTTCACTGCATAAAGACAGCATATAAGCGACCAGCTCGATATAAAACAATCCAAATAGATGGTAACAATCGTGACATTAAACAATTGGTTTGGGCTTACGTGTGTTTTGTTACATTGTTTTAACCGCTTGTGGTACTAGTAATGTTTGCATCCTCTCAGCCTCAATGGCAAACATATTGCTGTTCTCCAAAATTGCAGAATCTAGTCTGTATAACATACCATTTCATTGTCTGTTTTTAAATCTGCATCTAAAGTGTCCTGCTCTGTGCAGCCTCACGTGTCAAAAACATCACGAGGCGTCAGTGATTTAGGTCTCAGTTTTTATTTCGCCTCTAGAGGCTGCTTTCGTTCTGTGCAACGACAGCGCACTCTTCTCAGCTCAGCCAGGGGTGTGTGGGGGTGTGTGTGGGGGTGGGGAGAGATCGAGCGGAGTTTTAAGAGATCGGGATATAGGGCCGATTGATCTCTCCTTTTCGGGTTTCAAAGGAGAAGGTTTTGGAATAATTGTGAATCTTGAAGTTCTTTTCAATTGTGCTTCAACTTTTCCCTGTGTAGAGTACATCCAAAGATACCAAACATGATCTCTAGTGAGTATCCACAAGGTGTAAAGCTTAAAGTCACAATGAATGAATGAATGAGGCATTTATATAGCGCTTTCATATGTACTACTGTACACCCAAAGCGCTTTACAATCATATCAGGGGTTCTCTCCTCAACCAGCACCAGTGTGCAGCATCCACTTGGATGATGCGACGGCAGCCACAGTACAACGGCGCCAGTGCGCTCACCACACACCAGCTATAGTTGGAGAGGAGAGAGAGTGATAGAGCCAATTCAGTGGATGGGGATTATTAGGAGGCCATGATTGGCAGGGGCCAATGGGTGGAATGTGGCCAGGACACCGGGGTTACACCCCTACTCTTTACGAGAAGTGCCATGGGATTTTTAATGAACAGAGAGTCAGGGCCTCGGTTTAACGTCTCATCCGAAGGACGGTGCTCTTTGACAGTATAGTGTCCCCGTCACTATACTGGAGCGTTAGGACCCACACACACCCCTGCTGGCCTCACTAACACCTCTTCCAGCAGCAACCTGGTTTTCTCAGGAGGTCTCCCATCCAGGTACTAACCAGGCTCAGCCCTGCTTAGCTTCAGTGGGCAACCAGTCTTGGGCTACAGGGTGATATGGCTGCTGGATGGGTAAATTCCATAGAAATGCATTATATTCCATAGAAACGCTCTTACTTCCGAGTCTAGCCTCCCTCAACTCTTCACTCTTATTTCTTTAGGAAAACCCCACTTTCTGGATAAATAATGAAGATCATTTTCATGATAAATTGGTTTAGAAACATCATTATGATTATTCGTTCTTTGAATGAGGTGTACAATAAGAAACTTCCAATCTGCGTCACAGTATCCGTTACAATGATGACACAACATTCAATTAACTAAATGACTTACCTGGTGGGCCCGGCAAATGAGGTCCATGTCATGTTTGTGGAGGAACTTGGCCACAACATCAGAACCAAAGGTGAAAGAGACACCACGGTCATTCTCTCCCCAGCCCATGACATCTTTATCGGGGTCAGCCCAGAGCAGATCACACAGCAAACCCTGGTCAGGAACGTCTGTGGGCCTCATCACACGGCGAATCTGTTCCATAGATTGCAGGTCTGGGGAAAGACCTGGGTGAAGAACAGTTCAACAGCAGTTTAGAAGAAATATTTTGAATTCACACAGATTAGTATAAAGAACCTAACGTTCACTATTCCCTGACTATTTCACAAACCTGTCCATGTGATAAATACACATTTGACAGGAAAATAAGCTATTATGTGCTTTACAACACAGAGCTGTAAGATGAAGACCTTAACACATAACTAGGGTCAACCAGTGAGTCCAACAACCAACTAATCTATTCTAACTACCAGTACTTACAGTCACAAGTCTGGTTGACTAATCTTTTTTCTTTAGAAAATATTTAAGTTTCAATATTTATGTGTATTAAATACAATGTGATAAATGTTGAAATTAAAGGACCATTCACACCGAACGCAACATGACTCTATGAGAAAGGTCTATTCACATGTGACAACCTTTTTCAGTAACTTTTAACAACAGACACGCCACTGCTTTAACTACAGATCCCCACAGTAAAGAATGGCTTTAGATAATTAAGATTAGGGATGTCCAATCCTGCTTTTGGTGGGACACTTTCCCGCTTAGTTTAGCTCCTACAGACCTTCCTGAAAATGTCTAGCGAACCTCAAAATTCTCTCTCACTTTTTAGCTTTACATTTACATTAATTTAGTTCAATACCAAACTTCCGATAGGTGGGCAGAATCCAAAAATTTAAACATCTAAAATTTTTAATAAATAAAAAGCCAAAAATGGCACAGAACATTCTTTAAAGTTTCTTGAGTGTGTGGTTCCAGGGTTTGTCCCTAAAGTGGGTTGAAGTGGCCCTAAAGGAGGAAACTTTTCAGGTCAGAACAGAGAATCATTCCTCCTCTTGAGTACCAGTTACTTGTGGTGTTCCCTCGTAAGAATCGATTTTAGGTTCCTTCTATAGATGCTCCCATCTTATTTGCAGAAATACAATATTTCATATGTTTGTTATGCTGATGACTCTCAACTTTACCTTCTTGTCAGACCTACTGCTCTCTAGGAAATCTACAACATTTTAAATGCTACGTATATATAAACATGATTGTTATACAAAAGCATTAAGAGAATGCTACATTTCATCATTTTCAAAAACAATTAGCTTTTAAATTAGCAATTAAATTAGCTTTAATTATGGCAGAGGAGAGCTGATCTTAAAATAAGAGCAACACTAAAAATGTTCTTGAAATAACTCCCTGAAGACACAAAAAAGTGGGTTAAGAGGAAAAATGCTTTCAAAAAAAGTGCTAAAAATGTTTTTCAAAATTGCATACCTCCGTGACAACAAAAAATCTTTTCATCCACAATAGCAGCTACAGGTAAGCAGTTGAAACAGTCTGTGAATGTCTTCCAAAGCTTGATGTTATACCGCCTTTTACCTGCCAAAAAACATGTGCATGTACAGACATTTTAAAGTTAAATGCATCAATCTTGTGTACTTTGAGAGCAAAATTAAGAGCTCCAACCCCCTTTTAGCAACCAAACTGAACATAGTCTTAAACATCTTATAGACTTAAACATCTTTTTTAGTTGTTTAGCTGTTATTCCACAGTACATTCACATTGTTTTTTTTTTAAAGAAGCCAGAAGCCAGTGATTTCTCCCATTTTAAAAATAATATTATCAAGTATTCTTCTATTTTGTTTGGCACTCTAAAAAAAGTTAAACTGGAAGAAATAATATGGTAGCAGCCTATGTAACTGCACCGGTTTCTGAATATTTACTCATTTACATAAAAAGTAAAACAAAGTTTTAACTTTTCATAAACCAACCGAATTACAGTGTATGTCGGCAGTGCTGTCTCAGACTAGGGGTGAGGCCTAGACAATATAATCGAATATTGATAAGATTTTTTTTTTTTTTACATATTGCCCAGCCCTAAGTGCGCTAGAATCCCCTCCTCCCACACATGCAAGCCATATAACATGCTGTGTAGTGTACTTTATAAGATAAAAATGCTTATGTAATACTTATATTTTAAATCGTTTTATCGTGCTTTTAAAGCTATACTTTGTTACATTATACTTTTTACACATTGGGTTTCTTCCTTGGTGGAAAACACTGCCTGGAGACAGAGGCCTGGTGCCATTGTATCAGATGCACTTGACCCAACATATAATTGTGACCCATGCCGGCAAATTGAGAGAGTGAGCAAAGTTAGTCATTAAAAATTACTAACATTAAAAAAAAAAACTTTAAAATGAAAAAACTTTAAAATAAAATTTGTTGGAATCAGACACAAAATGAATGAGCTACACCTGAGTCAGCAAAAATTAAGTTAAGTTCTCTAAAGACTCCAAAACAAAATCACCTACCAACCATACATTAAAATAACACAAAATTTGGCACACACCAAGTCAAAACCCAAATCTACAGGGAAAATATTTGTTCAACTTTAATGAAAATATTTATATAAAGAATATTTAACATTGTTATTAAAATTATGCAACAAAATATCAACAACAACAATAAATAACAAATTACCCATCTCATGTTAATAAGTTTAGTTTATATAAACATATAAACCATTGCCTAACCATTGTTCAAGATTTGCTACATTAATGTTCACAACCATCTTGTTTAGGCGGTGGCACATTATCACTGAAGTAGTCATTAATATGTTGAGCAAAATGTTCCATGTCAATTGCTTCGACAAGATTCACCGAGCACAGCGCATTTAAAGACAGAGAACTCTTGCAATCATCCATATCCATTAAAAGCTGGCATATATCGACGAAACGTTGAATTAAAAGCTTGAAAATGTGAAATCTCTGACATGTTTACTTTTCGTGTTTTCAGAGGATGGACGCTTCCATGATAGCACAATGCGCCATTATTTTGATTAATCATCGAAAGGTATTATTACGACTGGTTAGCAACAAGCTGTTTTGTTTACATCAGATCATCAAATCACATTTCATTCGTTCAGACTCATGCCAATGAGAATTTGCTATGAATATTCACAAAGTTGGAATACTGCACTTTACAACGATACAAAACTAGTGGCTGAGAAGCGCACAGAGAAACAATTGCAGTTTTCTTACATGGATTATTAAAACAAAGGGAAGATTTAGGAAGGTACACGTCTCAGAAAACATACAAATAAAGATAATTTTAGACGTTTAATGGCTATTTGGAGCACTAGACGAGGGCTTAATGAACACATTTTTTACATATTTCACTTGTTTTTCCTGTAGCTCATAACTAGCCTGTGCGCATTCTGACTCATTTTGCCAGCATGGTTCACCATTATTCCAACCGTGACATAAGCTTTTGGTCATCCACCCATATAAAAAGCATACTCACATTCGTCATAAAATCCATATATCCTGTTGATGGAGGCACATTCATGGTTTCCTCTGAGAAGGAAGAAGTTCTCTGGATATTTGACCTTGTAGGCAAGCAGCAGGCAGATGGTCTCCAAAGACTGCTTGCCTCGGTCTACATAGTCTCCCAGAAACAGGTAGTTGCTCTCTGGAGGATATCCTCCATACTCGAAAAGCCTGAGCAGGTCATAGTACTGACCATGAACATCACCTGCAGGAAGAGAAACAGTTACATTTTGTTCTAAGCTGGCTTCATCTGAACTATATAAAATCAAAACAAAGGGTAAGGTTTAGCAGAAACTTACCACAAATCTTGAGTGGTGCCTCCAGCTCCAGCAGTATCGGCTGGCTAAGGAAGATTTCCCGAGATTTCAGACACAATCCACGAATCTCGTTTTCAGTTAACTGAACATTTTTACCAGGTCTTGAGCCCTTCACTGAAAATTAACGACACACAAAGGTTAACCTTACTATTGTAATTGCTAAAAATATGCATAAAAGCATTGGGAATACATATATACATATTTGTGCATGTATATGTTTGTGTTTTTAAACTAAAGAAAGTCTCTTTCAAGGAAAGTCTGTTTGATCGTGGCCATATTTACAACACCTTCAGGCATCTAGGAAGACCATGTACTATCTACCCGAAATCTCAAACTACTTGCCACACTTACATTGGAATATCATTTAACACAAACTTGGTGCCGGTAAGATGCTAAGTCCTGCAGTGTGAAATGTGTTTTGACTGCTGAAACTGACAAAAAGAACAGCAATATGACAGTGATTGATTCTTCTCTACTTCCAAGGAATATTGGTATTCTTTCTTCTAAACTTTCAAATTCTCAGAGAAGTAATTGGGTAAAAGTTTATAGTTGGTATATCAACACAGACGTCTACAGTAGAAATCAAAATGGAGTAAATCACCTTTTGAAAGTAACTTGATGCTTCAAATAAAGATATCTTTATATCACCAGTAGGAGACAACAAGTGACTATTAAAAAAACGTTTCTGTCATTGAAACATTCATTCAAGAGATTCGTTCAAAAACGTTGAGGCTGCATCTGAAATCGCATACTTCCCTGCAATATAGGTGAAAAACAGTATGTGAAAAAAGAGCTTGAAGCATGTCCAAATTCACAGTACTCATAAAAGAGTACGCAAAAAAAAACACACGGATTAAAACATGTCTATTACACATGGCCAATGTAATACGTTCGGACTACTTTCATACATTCATACTATAAAGAACATACTTCTATTATATAGTCACGAAGGGCTTATTCAAAGTGCTTATTACTAGGGGTGGGAAAAAAAATCGATATTGCAATATATTGTTGTGCTCTCTGTCGCAATAAATAATCGATACACTAACGCCCAATATCGATATTTTATTACAACACAAAATGATTAATTTACCCGTTGTCAGTGTCACTGTCACTACCCAATATCTACCATTCTGTTTGCGGGGGGCGCTGTTCGAGTAAATAGGGGTAAAGTGGCGCAAACAGCGGCCGGTGAAGAACACAAGTTAACTAACAACAACAGAGAGAAGCGAGAAGAATGGCGGAAAACAATATAAAACGAATCAAAGACCCACCCGCTATTTCCACTCTAAAGTGTGGAGACACTTCGGGTTTTACGAGCAGAGAGAGCGCAACGGCCGCGCGCGCGCACTCTCACGTCTTCAAACAACACGAGCGCTGTCTTGCTCTCTCTCCCTCGCGCATATTAATCAAAATCAATTGACACGATAGTAAAAGGTCGGAAGACCGCAGTTTCACGTGGAGCATTTGGAGATTTTTAGAGATTAGAGACTCGCCTAAACTCAATGAACAACATCTCAACACTAAATTATAAAGGCCTGTCTCATATAGACGCCTGTCTCGAATACAAGCCGGTGCAGTTCGACGATTTGGGAAAATAAAAACCCGGGAAGTTTTACGGTATATTAATTCTCAATATGTACACATGCATTGTTAATCTTTCTTTTCAGTCACATATTTCGTGATATATCGTTGATGAAATTTCTTCCAATATATTGAATATCGTAGATATCGCGAATCGTGATATTATCATATCGTGGACCACATATCGCCACAGAATTGAATCGTGAGGTACCTGTATCGTCCCACCCCTACTTATTACTCTTTTGACTTATTCAAAATAAGTACCTGAAGGGAGTATGCGATTTTAGACGCAGCCTGATTCATCCAGAAATAAAACATATCAAGTCTTTATCAAGTCAAAGCATTAATTTAAACAGATTAAAAAAATAACTCAATTTATTTAATTTTTTTTAAATAGACTGCAGCAATTAACATTTTGCCAGAACCTCTAGTAAATTCCATGTTTTTTGTTTAGTTGTCTATTCAGAATAATGGGAGAATCGTGGTTCTCAATCCAGAATTGTGCAGCTCTAGCCTGATATTTAGGTAGATACAGCTGCTTCCGGTTTCCCAATTTCTGAATTCTTTGACCCATACAAGAAAATATATATTTTAATTTCTGTTTGATGTAGTGATTAACAGTTTACACAACTGAAAGATCGTTATTTCCCCTGATTTTAACTAATAAGCATGTGTGTGTGTCAGTGTTGGGCAGAAGAAAACACAATGGTGGAACAGCAGGCAATGGTACCGTACTATGACTATCCCATCATCAAGACTGTTGTTGATATCTCACTGTCAAAGGCATTTCTCCCATCTCTACTTGTTACTCAGGTAGCAGTCTTAATGAGGGATGTATTATTCTGACAGGAAGTCAATATGTGGCACAACACTGCACTGGAGACGTCTTTGTGGCTTCCTGACGCACTGCGCATGCGCTGAAGTTTTGTTCCGATTATATGTAATAAACATGGAAATGATGCCAATAAATATTTGAATTGGATTGATAGTGTTACGCATTTATACATACTACTACTACATAGCTACATATACATTCGATTGGAGATGATATTGAACAAATACAATAATACGCTTTCAGACACTTAACCGTTATTAAACATTATAAAACGATACAGTTTGTAATAATAATGAAAAAGAATAAACGTATTACCCTCCAAAAGGCGCTGGATGATCGAATCGATGTTTAATTTGTCCGATTCAGCCATTTTGTCGCTCGCTGGAGATTAGCCGGCTAACAGAGCCAGGAACAAGACGACCTAGGAATCCACCCGAAGCAAATACACGGTACTAACTTATAAAAATGTCTTTATAAAAGATCCCACTACTGGTAGTATTCCTGAGTTTTTGTTATTGCCGCGAATGGTACCTTCAGTAGTTCGTTGTATGAGAAAAACTAGCACCACGACCGCTGAGTAGGAAACACTGAATGGGGCGGGGTAAACACACTAAAGCGGGTTTCTGATTGGTTATTCTCGGCTCATGACGAGCGCTTCAAATATCACATCCGAAGAGCCAATAGGATATTCTGTTAGTCAATCTTTCCCTATATTTTATGGTTAATAAGCAAATTAAAATCACATTCACCAATGTATGAATCTCAGATTCACAATATAAAAAAAAAACGCTATTAACCCTCGATGAGATAGCGATGTAAAATTTCTCAGGTTGGACCTTTTTACATTCTATGGGTTGGACAGTTTATTCATTAACACCGATTGCTAATTATTCATAAAATGTACTGTTAAATAAATTCGAAATATAAAACAGCGTTCTTTCAACCTACGGAAGTATTTTTTATTGCAAATAATAATAATAATGACAATAGTGCATACAGTACTTCAACCTACGGAAGTATTGAATCCATTAGCCAATGATGACGAGATCAGAAAGCGACAGTTCGAATCGTCTGATTCATTCCAAAGTGGCATAATGTGCCAATGCTGATGCGGAAACGTCGCCAAAATTGACGATTAAATGGATTAGGACACTCGCAATCAGTTATGTATTTCGTTTTTGAATAGCTAACCTATTTGACCATGAAGTTGGTTCATAAAGACATCGAGAAGGATAATGCCGGGTGAGTGTTAACGTTAATCTACAGCACTTTTGGACATCATGTGCGCTTTCCGAGTTGAGTGCTATGGCAGTACCGTGATGCAGTGATGGTATCATATGACAATACCTGGGTACTTACTTGCTATTAAATAGAAAACATGATAGTACAGTGGTGCTTTTTGATTGACGAACTGACTCGGAACGCGCAGTCTGTTCAATATAGCTAACGTTACTCCAAATTGCCGCCAATGGCTCATTGTTAACCCGGTGCTTTGTTGACAAACTTGGCATGTTTCACATTCACACACAATATTGCCTTTGCTGTAGCGCCCAATTTTGACCGTATGGGGCGAGTCCTTTGCGGATGTATATAGAGAGTAATAAGCCTCAGGGTTGAGCTGGAATGTTGTATTAGAGAATATAATAATAAATATATATATATATATATATATAAATAAATAAATATAGCTGCGAGCAGCGATTACGGGCCCAAGCCGGTGGCACCGCAACCCCGGTGCCTTTAGTTACCTAAAGGCACCGGGGTGGCGGTACCACCGGCTTTGGCCCTTCATCGCTGCTCGCAGCTATATTTATTTATTTATATATATATATATATATATATATATATATAAAGCCGGTGGCACCGCCACCCTGGTGCCTTTAGGGTTATTGTGCACGACGTGCAAAAACGTAACCCTGCTTTGACTGTCGAAAAGAAGTGTGCTGTAGAGCTTGTATCAGTGTGGGCTCTGCAAAAGTGTGCATTGAGGGCACATATCAACCACAAAGTATGCGAGAGCAACCTTCTGAAAGGTCAGGTCTACATCCAGGTCTACATCTGCCGTGTGTTTACATCATAGTAGTGAAGTTTGAAGCAATCAGGTGATTTCAAAGCTTTTTGAAAGTGACAGACTTCCTGCTGCCAGTTGGTGGCGCTATAACCGGGGTGGCGGTGCCGCCGGCTTTGGCCCTTTCATCGCTGCTCGCAGCTATATTTATATATATACACACACAAACACACACACACACACACACACATATATATATATATATATATATATATATACATAAATATATATATATTGTTTTTTTAAGAGACAAGACAGAATATTACTTGCCTGATCTGATTAGAAAAATAGTGTTTGTGTGTGTGTGTGTGTGTGTGTGTGTGTGTGTGTGTGTGTGTGTGTTTGTGTGTGTGTGTGTGGCGTAATTGAACAATGTAGACATAAAAACATACTCCGTCCTTTTGTTCATACAGGACATTATTCAAACTGCAAAGTGTTTACTTATATTTGTGTACACTTGCAATAAAACACAACATTGTGCTTTTGTCAAGCTATAAACTCTTGTCAAACTGTAAACTACAACTGTCACCCAACCAAAATCTCTTACACACACACACACACACACACAGTTTAAAAGCAAAAAATATCAAACAATCCTATTTAAAAACAGTCTGTGGGAGCCATCTTTTGGACATTCATCATATCGCATTGGTTTTCATTTCTTGTCATCAAACAGAGCCCTAATCTGTTTATTTTTTCAGTTACACATTCTACATTGATTAAAAAAGAAAAATCAAATGTGTTTTTATTTTATACAGAAATAAATAATCTATCATTCAGATGAGAATAAAGTTAGTGTTAGTTCAAATTTTAAGGAAAACAAATATATGATCTGAAATATAGCACATTCATTTAAAATTCATTCAGGTTCAATTACCAAACATACAATCTTAATGTAATTTAAAGCAAACAATACATTTAAAATATATGGGTTGTATGACTATTTTTTAATATAAAAAGATATATATCCAAAAAGACAAGGCCTAAAGTTTAACAAGGGTTAAACTCTTATCACTGTAACAGACACAATCACACACACAATCACACACACACACACACACACAAGTCAAATCACTTACATTTTACATGCAATATTGACTTTTTTTCTGTTTCAGCAGCGAAAATAGTTAAACAAAGATCACAGCAGAACCATCGCGCATCTCACAGCAACGCGTTCTCATTACTGAATGATTCAGCATTTTGAACGAATCGGTTGACTCAAAGATTCAATGACCAATCAATCCATAAACATCTATCTCATTCATGAATGACTCAGTCGTTCAAACGAATGAATCAATGACTCGCTCATTAAGACGGTCACCTGGCGACACCTAATGACGGTTTAGTGTTATGTTTAAAAGTATCATTCTTTCCAACGATTGTTAATTAACTCATATTTGAAACATAAGCTATATTTATATATATACATACATATACACAGACATACACAAAAATAAAATAAAAACACATTTGAAATGTGTTTGCTTACTAAATTGTGAGCTGAACGAAAGTGGCAGCAAATATCAGCAACAGGAGTCAAATTTCATTAATCACGAGAGTGAAGAGCTGACTGAAAAGATGATGACGGAATAGGCTATTTTATGTAAAAACGCCTATTCAAGCGAATCTGTCATTGTACTCTTTTATTGTTGTGTTTTCCGTGAAAAATAATAGACTATTGAACTCACAATTCAAGCAATCGGCCCCCGAAATTGCACTAATTTTAGTGACACTAAAAAGTATGCGGCTGTACTGGCATTCATAATGGTGCGCGTCCATGGCGACGAGCGAGCAGAACAGAGCGAACGTTTAGTTAATTTCTACTTCCATAGGAATTCATTCGAGCGCCACCATTTCAATGTCCGTGCGGACGTCCATATTATACTTTCGCTTTCAAGTTAGTGTTTTTAAACCCCCCAGCGGGAGGTTTACACAATTGGTTTACACAATCACACGTTGATTAACCGGTGGGAAAATATTCCCATAGTAACATCCCTAATATATAAATATATATAAATTCAATAGGCCTACCTGATTTTGAACACAAGAGGGCAGTATAGCACTATATATGATTTGGATTATTATTATTTTTGACTAAACAACCATTCTGGCTGTTTTTAAACTTAAAAATAATTCTTAAATTGAAAAAAAGGAATAAAATGGGTTTAGTTCTAATATTTGTATAATTTTATATAAAAATAAATGGTGTATAATTACATTTTAGAAAGATATGAGACATGCCCTGATTCTTTTTTTGACATTATTGTCCTCGATCAGAGCCCTAATCTGTTTATTTTTTCAGTTACACATTCTACATTGATTAAAAAAGAAAAATCAAATGTGTTTTTATTTTATACAGAAATAAATAATCTATCATTCAGATGAGAATAAAGTTAGTGTTAGTTCAAATTTTAAGGAAAACAAATATATGATCTGAAATATAGCACATTCATTTATAATTCATTCAGGTTCAATTACCAAACATACAAATCTCAATGTAATTTAAAGCAAACATTACATTTAAAATACATGGGTTGTATGCTATTTTTTTTTATATAAAAAGATATATATCCAAAAAGACAAGGCCTAAACTTTAACAAGGGTTAAACAATCACTGTAACAGACACAATCACACACACACACACACACACACGTCAAATCACTTACATTTTAGATGCAATATTGACTTTTTTTTCTGTTTCAGCAGCGAAAATAGTTAAACAAAGATCACAGCAGAACCATCGAGCATCTCACAGCAACGCGTTCTCATTACTGAATGATTCAGCATTTTGAACGAATCGGTTGACTCAAAGATTCAACGACCAATCCATAATCTGTCTCATTCATGAATGACTCAGCCGTTCGAACGAATCGTTTGAACGAATGAATCAATGACTCGCTCATTAAGACGGTCGCCTGGCGACACCTAATGACGGTTTAGTGATATTAAAAGTATCATTCTTTCCAACGATTGTTAATTAACTCATATTTGAAACATAAGCTATATATATATATATATATATATATATATATATATATATATATATATATATATATATATATATATATATATATATATATATATATATATATATATATACACACATATATATACACACACATATATATACACAAAAATAAAATAAAAACACATTTGAAGCGTGTTTGCTTACTAAATTGTGAGCGGAACGAAAGTTGCAGCAAATATCAGCAACAGGAGTCAAATTTCATTAATCACGAGAGTGCAGAGCTGACTGAAAAGATGATGACGGAATAGGCTATTTTATGTAAAAGCCCCTATTTAAGCGAATCTATCATTGTACTCTTTTGTTGTTGTGTTTTCCGTGAAAAATAATAGACTATTGAACTCACAATTCAAGCAATCGGCCCCGTTATTGCACTAATTTTAAAGTGACACTAAAAAGTATGCGGCTGCACTGGCATTCATAATGGTGCGCGTCCATGGCGACGAGCGAGCAGAACTTCCATAGGAATTCCCTCGAGCGCTCTGCACGTGGCCATTATCAATGTCCCGTATTTAAAAGCTCTCGGTCCTCAGTCACATACCAAATATATGTATAATGTATATATAAATATAATTTTGGACACAAGAGGGCAGTATGGCCCTATGTATAATTTTGTGTTTAAACTAAAAGAGCCCCTCCCCCCCTCCCCACACAGACACAGACACAGACACACACGAATGGCAGGGTGCATTCTCTCTGTCAGAGGGAGAGGGAGAGAAAATTCTCAGAAACATCCACATTCAAACCAAAATATCTAACTTCCTCTTGGTCTGAGCTAATGACAGTTAATTAGAAAGTTGTCCGGCTTGATCTGAACCATATGCATACCTGTGTCTGTCGAGTTTCATGCAATTTCAAGCATGCTAAGAGTCTCAAAAGCATCAAACAAGAATATTAAAGTTTGATGTGTTGCCACGGCAACAGTATCTAAGATATCAATAATCCTTTCACAGGTCTACATCTGCCGTGTGTTTACATTATACACATAAAGTTTGAAGCAAATCGGGTAAAAATAAGAGGGTGATTTCAAAGCATTTAGGAAGTGACACACTTCCTGCTGCCAGTTGGTGGCGCTATAACTTTGACTCACAATAGTCACATCCATGTGATCGGGCTCTTACAGCGAACACACTGCTGAAGTTTCATCA